AGTCATCCCCTGTGGTGTCTTCTTGCTAAAGCTAATGATTTTAATTTGGTGACTTTGTCTTCGTTGATTAACTTGTCCTTCATGTCGTTTTTAAGTTAATTTTCTTCTTTTTGTTTTCAGTCCCAAAAGCTTCCAAAAGAAAGAAACCAGATGAAGGCTTTGAAAAACCAGGTGAGGGTTCAGTTTTCATAACGTGTAGTCTCCGTCGCAGCCGTGAGGTCTTCACGCAACAAGGTAATGTACTGCTGTCGACAAATAGGGCTCCGAGCGTAGCGAGTCTGTAGTAATACTGAATCAATGAGAGAGGTAATATTTTCCCGTCCATGCCCTTACTAGACTGACCTCAATTTGTTTTTCTTCTCTTGACGAGTTAGGAGTATTACAAAACACGGTAAATTACGTACGTTCAATGAATAGCTAATATGCAGAGAATAAACCCCCGCCTCCTCTGTCGGCCCAGTAAGTTTACTCTTTAAGACATTTGGAATCAATCAAGGAAACCATTATTAGATATCAAGGAGGACCGTTGAATGGTATTCTGTCGCAGGGTGCATGATTTTAACCTTCAGTTCGTGTCATTTACAGCTTGAAGACGCGGAATTTGCTGCTCAGTCCGCTCTGAAGAGCAAGAAAAAACTTGAAGAGGACGTGGCCGATCTACAGAGTCAACTGGATATTTTGTCCAAGTCCAAGAAAGAGGTAACTCAGACCTCACCTGCTAAGTTAAAAGGGTTCTATCATGAGCATCCCTTAAACACGTCAATAAGCCAAAAGACTTTGAAATCAATAGAAACGTGTGGCTTTACTGCAAAAGGGGTATTATCGTACGTTACGCATTCACGAGTTTTGGATCGAAAAATTGGAAAAATCGGGCAGACATATGTTATGGCAAATTTGCATAAAACTAATTGCAGTGGTTTCATTGAGGGCCGGGCACCAGGCATATTGACCGGTTGCGAGGATGATTTTGCCCGCCTGGTTTAACCTTCTAGGAAAAGGTTTTTCTTATAAAGAAATCTAGTTGCCCGCCTGTGAAAACCAGTTGCCCTTCTGTTGAAAATGTTAATGAAATCCCTGTAGTTTAGTCCACCTTAGATGATAAAAGAAAAACTCGTCTTGGTCTTAGATGCATCTCGTGAACGAGCGAAGCTACTTAGTCGTTGTTTTGACCAAAAATGTAGTAAAATCCCTGTGATTGTTCCCCTTATTAATTACGAAATTTCACGGTCATTTTATTGATCTTCTAACTGTTTTGGTTTGTAGCTTGAGACAAAGTACATGACGACGCTTAAGGAGAACTCTGAACTGCAAGGTAAAGTAGACGAAGACGAAGACGACATTGATTCACTGACGGAGAAGAACAGACAACTTGTCAAACAGGTTTGTGTTGTCTCAAAATTTATTTCCTTGACTCTGATTCTTTGTCCGTCCCTCGTTCTGTCTTCAGTTTCAGTTCGTTCAAACTCTCTTGTTTGCAAAAATCGAAAGTTCATTTCTTTTCTCTTGTTTTTCCTTTTTACCCCTTTTTTTTGGCTTGACCATTGGGCCATTCCTAACGTTGCGAGGAAAGAATGAAAAAAGTATTTGTGAGAAGAAAGGAGCAGTTGTAAAATTTCTGCATGTGCAAGTCCCTCTGTAATGTACTGTCCTACTGTGTATTCATCTTGTCACGCACAACCTCATTGTTAGTTTATTTGGAATTTATGTTCCATTCTCAGCTGACCGAACTTCAGACGACACTGCGTGACCGCGAGGCTACCATTCAGGAGATGACAACTCAACACGAAAACCTGGAAACTAAGGTAGGGAGACTATGTCACGCACAGTATACAGCACACAAGTCAATGTCACGCAATTTTGGGGACAGTACTTAGAAATCAAGTCTCGTTGTTAACGTTTACTGAACAGTCAAAACGTAGTGTAGCAGCAGCGGCACTATAGTACAACGCTACCTTTCGAAGTGAAAAGGGTTAATACAGAGCTGTGGGGCAACTAACCCCATGATGTTGAGTGTCACGCCTTGGTCACGCAATACCTTTAAACACGGGTGGTCGATAATAGCGTCCTCTCTGTCTTGTTTAGGTTCAGCACATGTCGAATCGTCTCTCGTACTTGGAAGAGTCCACGGTGGAAAAACATCAATTTGAGCAAATGGAAAGCAAGGTATTTACTGTTATTAAACATTATTTATGCAATTATCACGGTTATTTCAAGCCACTGTTTTCATGTCACTTTCTTTGTGTTGCAGAGAAGAGAACTAGCCACGCAGTTGGATTTGGAAGGATCATTTAAGAAACGACAAGAGGTACACATTTTTGGGTCTCTTCCAGCAACGGAGCTATTTTCTTTAGGGCGAATTTTCGTTGTATGCCGTTCTCTTAGCTTTGCAGTTAACATAGAAACGACTGAGCTCGCTGTCTTCAGGGGAAAGTTGACGGACGTTAACAAATGGAAACTCTTCCTGCGTTAATACGAAGCTTTTTGGAAGGCGGTATTTGTTTCTGCAAACTGTTTTTGTGTCCTTCTGTTACAGATTTGTAATGTGTTTCTTTGTTATTGTTTGCCAGGTTCAAGTCGGCCGGTTAAAGGACCAAGTTCAAAAACTCAATGACGAAAAGGAGGACATTCAGCTCAGAGAAAGCAAACTTACTCAGGAGAACGCTAGGTATACACTGCTCATCCATACATGTTCAACATATTCTATGTCCTCCAGTCCATTCGTGACGGATTTTATGGCAGATATGAGAAAGTGTGGTGCCTGTCTTTCTGTTTGTTGTTGCTAATATAGTTTTTTCCCTCATATCTCTAGACTGGATCGTCAAATGCGAGAGTTAAAGGAAGAGATGGCCTCACTATCGAGACAGGAAGAAGAACACAAGAAAAGAAAGACCGATGCCGTGAGTATCTCTTATTTAGCATTTCAGTTCTCGAGAGCGATCCACAGCTAAATTCTCCTTCTGATAACATTGCATTGGTAAGCAGACAGGTGACGAGAATTCAGAGAAACATCAACTTCTTTGATTAAAATTAAATTCTCAAAGCTCGTGCCCTAGATTCTCACATCGCTTTGGTCTTTAAAAAAGGCAAGAGCAGGTGCAACTTTTCAGCGTCACTGTTCCGCGGTTTGGTAGTTCCTATCTTTAACAATGCTGTTTCCCATACGTTGCTTACAGTATTGGCTGCAATAATTCGGCTCTTTTCCGCCCTCTTTATCTCGGAAACGAAGTCAGTGACTCACTCCCATTTTTTTTGTGCATTTCTGACAGAAGTACCGCATTATCTGACAGCAGAAGAATTTAAAAGAATTTCGCGCCAACGTCCTTAAAGGGTCATTATTTCTTTTGTTTAACAGGAAAGAGAGGTTGAACATCTTGAAGGAGTTGTAGCAAACTTAAAACAAGAATTAGGCTTGGCAAAGAAACGAGTAAGTGAACTCCAGCACGCCTTGGAGGACGACATGCATTATGACTCGGATGGCATGTCTAGAGATGATGATGACGATGATATAGACCTCAATTTAAGCGACGATTCCGATGACTTTAAAGACAGTGGTTCGCGACCGTCGGAGCCGAGGTCTTATCGATCACTCGACGAACTCGACGACGAGGATGACCTCAGTGATCGGCTCAAACGAAAACTGAACGATCTCAAAGACGATTTACCTCGTTCGACAAGAGGATCGCGACCTCCCGCCGATTCGGTGGATTCGGACGTATTCGATGACCTCAATGACTCGCGAAAGGGCGGTCGGAGGGTAAGCCAAGAGGGTCGACCCCATCGGAGATCGAGATCGGGAACCGACGAAAATGATACGAGTGTCGAAAAGAGACAAAGGAGAAGTGAAGAGAAGAGAAGAAAAAGCGTTGAGAAGAGTAGAAGTTTCGAGAAGAAATCCACCGATAATTCAATACATTGACGAGAGGAGTACATTGTTGTAAATGATTTTTTGCGGTGAAAACCATTTTACGACGTCTTTGAACACAGATTTACGGTTAGCGCATCGTTGATTGTGGTGACCGTCCCGAAAATATATCCTGTCAGGTGAGGAACAGTAGTTATTTGACAGGAAAACTGCCACAGAACAGCTAAAGAGTGGCACGGATTGACATCACTTCGAAGAGCTTGAAAACAAACCTTGATTACTGGAAACTCAACAATTACGGATTGATTTTTTAGAATAGTGTTTGATAACTGACAGTGAGGAGAAGCTCTAACGATGACAAGTATGAAAGCGGATTACAATGTGGACAAACATAACAACACAAGCTTTTCGTTTTCGACATTGTTTCCTTAAATTAGAGGTCATTGGGGTTTATTTCATGAATCGTAGCAATATTTATTTCCGTTGCAGCAAATACCCAGTGAACAAAAAACTCGGATGTTAGTGATAAAATTGTAAAGAACTCGCTGTATCGAACAACATTCCTAACGAACCAATTTTGTACAAGCTGGTTTGTTCGTTATGTCGGTTCGATGTCGCAGTGAAAATCTCCCAACCACGAGGTACAATATGTGTATTACAAATTGTTTCGAAATATCTCTGTGGTGAAGAGAATGTTGTACTTCGAGCTGAAAGGCGTAATTTAAGGTAATTTATGTTGCGTTACATAGTTACAGACATGCCTTATGACGTGAGTCGAATTATGGAATAGATATGCTATCCTTCCTTTTCAGAAATACTAGTTTTTGCAGGTGAAAATATAAAAAAGGAAAAGATAGTAGAAACGAACTTAATCAACGACATGATCTCGTAAAGTGAACTGTACAAAACCCGGACTGTTCAACAAATGCTTTTACTGGCTTTTGTTTGGCTTTACGAGCAAGAGAGCTCTGGAAGTTCTTGAATAATAACAGTAGATATGGTCAAAGAAAAATCCGCAGAAAATTTTGTTATAGTTAATCTTCTGGTGCCCCGAAAGGCAAGCTAAACATTTGTGGTCTCTGATGTGTCGTTTAAAAGGCGCCATTTGATTGGTTACATTTTACAGCCAAGTTTGGAAGAAGCCAATCTGCACGAGTTGATCACGTGCCCCTTGTAAAGTGTAACCGTGACTCGTCAATTGTTGAGTCTAAATTTGGACTAGGCTTAAAATCATTCCCAGTGATCGCAAATCAAATTTGATTTGGTGATTTAAAATGAAGCTATTAACTCTCTAAGCCCCAATATCATCATCAAATTCTCCTGACTGTTGTCAATACATTTCGTAAATTTTTTGTTGGGAGAATATGTTAAAACATCGAGAATATTTCGCTTGGTGATCATTTCACTAATTCTCATAACGTACTCTTAACTATGCACAGAACATTGTGAGGAGAAATTGTTTACTCGTCATTGGGGTTTAAGGTGTTAGATACGGTTCCATAAAACAGATTAATTGTTGCACAAGCCTTGCTCGTATATGTAAATCACTTGAAGATATTTTATATTAATGACTGAACAGAGTTAATTTAGTTAGAGTAGTTATTTTTGTAAGTGTTGTTTCGTCGCTATGTTGGCTGTAAATGAGGGATTTGATGGGTGTAAATACAAGTGACAGACCCTTAACGTTGATCTTGTTGTTGCGTTTGTTTCGAACCTCTTGATTGAACTTCCTTAGGCCCCTCCCTCACAACCCCGGAGGAATTTGAAAACGCGGATTTGTTTCTCCGGTTAGACCTACCGTTCACACAAATCCGTCACGAAAACGGAGCTTGTCGAAAACGCTCTTCATACTGGAGGAATTTGAAAACGCTGGCTTATGGTTTTGTGTTTACGGAAAAAAAAAATTGGAAACAGTTATGTACCAGTGATATTCATGTGATTAACCCTAACCCTGAAGCTTTTCTGCCGCCAGTGATTGTTATGTTTTCAAATTTTTCCGGCGTATTGTGGACAGAAGACATTGAAATTTCTTCCGCGTAGTGTGGACGGAGACTAAGGGTACGGTTCTTACCCCTGGGTAGAATGCAGATCCATCACAGGGTAACCCCCGAGCATTTTGCTGGGTAATCTTTAAAGGCCGCCGCCGGTACCTATTGATATACTTGGGTGCAGTGAGGCACTGAGAGTAAAGTGTATTTTTCAAGAACACAACACCTTGGCCCGGGCTGATTGCAACCCAGACTTGTCGATCATTTAGCGCTCGTAAGCGTCACTTGCGCCCCTACAGCGCTACGCCACCGTTCTGCCATTTCCGAGTTGCGTTTTGCCTCTGTCAAAATGAGTTTTCGTGCGAAACCAATCAGTAAAATGTCAAGCCTAGGTGGTCACTTACGGGAGGTGGTCGCTTACGAGAGCTTGCACAGTATTGGGTCAAAATTTTGCGTCATTAGCATAAGGTTACTGCTGAGACTTATCCATATTTTAAATGTTTTATTCATGTAAAAGTCGATTTTGAGAAAAAAATATGCTGTACTTCCCATTGAGAAATTTCCCTCCCTCGTACTACCCAGAAATACGATAATGTTGCAACACCATATTATCCCATTTTATCGTCCCGTTCGCCGGGACGATAAAAATTGGCCGTTGTAGAGAGGTGGCCGTTGTATGGAGGTGGCCGTTAGTGGAGGTTTGATTGTATTTCCTCAAGAGATTATCAAGGTAGGAGAGGTATCCTCCATGTAGGCCTTATACCCAAGGTAATCCCTCAAGTTACTTTTAGACTTGGTACCCAGTTATTCCGAGGATGTTACTCGCGCGATGCGTTTACAGCCCAAGCGACTTTCTCGAAACTACCTACGACACTTGAGACGAAATGGTGGGAAATGCAAAGTCATTTTATACGTTGTGATTTTCAAAAGACATTTCATAGCATGGATGTTTTCTGCACTCTTAGCCGTCTTTATGTTCGGCTGGTCTTCCAATTGCTTTGTGATTGTTTGACTGTTCCTTCTTTTGCCGTTCATTCGGTTTTGGGGAGTTTCATAAGCAAACCACAACGGCAACGAATACAATGGCTACGTACGCGTGCGTTAGAATTCTTTGTTCATTTCTTTGCCATTCTTTACAAAAACAATAGTCAAATTCTGCGTTTTCGAGAGAACGCGAACTGAAACGGCCAATTCAGTTTTAAAATTTCTTTTTCAAATTTTGACGCTGTCTTACTATATTTTGTTTGGGATGACTGACTGAGACAAACTGAATGAATCTCATTCTTGCGAGATTCGTAAGT